AATAGTCATTCTCCCCTAGGTTAATTGACCAGAACCCTTACATTTCCATTTCATTTTCCTCCCAGTAGAAGCTGCATGATCTGTTTTACATTCCTTTACAATAACAGTCACTTTCTTCAGTGAAGGTCCAAAGAACGGAGCACAACAGAGGAGCATGAATATTGAAGAGGAAGTTCTTTGGCCTCTTTACTCACTCTTCTCATTAACATGCAAATTAGCCATCTTCCTCCAGCGTTTGTAAACTGTGAAGCAAGAATCACAATGACTTCTGCTTTTGCAGTGGCTTGACCAATGATTGTACACGTTGCCCTTTTCTTTCTTTCTTTCTTTCTTTCTTTCTTTCTTTCTTTCTTTCTTTCTTTCTTTCTTTCTTTCTTTCTTTCTTTCTTTCTTTCTTTCTTTCTTATTTATTTATATGGGGATGGTTAGGAGACCATGATGGACAGACGCCAGTGGGAAAATTTGGCCAGGATGCTGGGGCGTATTCATTTAGGTGTAAATGATTAAAGAGCCCATATTATGTGTTTTTGAAAATGCCCTTCCGTGTAGTGTGTAACACAGCTCTAAGTGAAGTGAAATATCCAGCTAAGGCTTAAATCTGTAAGTGTACAGTGTTTAAAACTGTTGATTCATCTATAAAAGAGTCGACTCATAGTGCTTCAAATGAGTTGTCTGTATAACGAGTCATTCAGTGTTTTGCGATGACATATCTACGAAACACAAGTAGTTGCGCGCGCAAACCTGGGAGATTTGAAACCTGCGTTTACTTAACATGTTTACTTTTCCAAAATAAGTTTCTCAAAATAAAATAAATTGTGTTCATCGCAGAATTTATTTTTTTGTTTTTTTACCCAGGCATTTGAATAGAATGTATTTTAGAGCAGTAATCACAATACCTTAAAACCATGATATTTTTATCCAAGGTTATCGCACCATCAGAATCTTATACCAGCCCATGCTTAGTGTGAATACAAGAGTGTATGGATGTTTCCCAGTGCTGGGTTGCCGCTGGAAGGGCATCCACTGCTTAAAACATATGCTGGATAAGTTAGCGGTTCATTCCGTTTTGGTGACTCCTATTAAATAAAGGGATTAAGCCAAAGGAAATTGAATGAGTGAATAAAGTTTAACTAGTTTTTTCTTTTTTCAATGTGATTTTTAACCTCTACTGAACCTTTAAGAATAAAAAAAAACATTTACAGGCAAAATCAAAATCAAAATTAATGTCCGTGGACACACTGAGGTCTTATGAAATGAAACAATTCAAATGATGTTGAATTTAATGGTTTTCATACCTTTGAACACGATGTACTGAAGGGCCTGTTTGCATTCAGAACCTGGCAAGACATCCTTGGTGGATTAAACTGGCTTTTTGTTGAATTTTTTTTCTTGTGCGTCCTGCCTGGTACATTTACATAACTATTGCATTTCCCACCAGCAAAAACAGTTCAGATGTAGCCATGTGAATATATAACCATGTTGATAATTGCTTCATATTCAGAGCAGAGATTTTAGTTTTAATATTGAACAGTATGAATTCAGACATAACTGTTTTGCAGTTTTAGATCAACATTTTGGCTCTACTTGTAATGTTTTGTCGTTTAGCAGTTTTTTTTCACCGAATCAAATTAGTGAAACATTTGTCTTGTCTTTGCTTTTATACCTTCTTGATTACCTCAATATGTTTGCACTTTTCATCACAGTTTTCTTGTCTTCGCCATGCGCTAAAAATGCAGCTGTAGAAAACACATTAATCAAAAGTAGCACATGGCAGACCAGTCTTTGAATCCTTTAGTAATTATGGAGGATGAAACGCTACTTAAAATTCATTCACGTTTGCTGTGGAACATTTACCAAAATGACATTGTAATGCTTGTGATATTGTACCTTGTTTAAAATTTATAGACCCGTTCAAACTACTTGATTATGGTCTTCTCATTTTCTAGGTATTTTTTATTTCTTGTCAGTGGAGTAAGTGCGTATGATGGCCCACTTCTACACACAGCCATAAATTGGCTCCTTTAAAATGTTTTTTTTATTTTTTTATCTTTTATTCATTCATTTTTCTTCAGCTTAGTCCCTTTATTCATCAGGGGTCACCTCAGAGGAATTCTTCACCAACTTATCCAGCATATGTTTTACATAGCGGATGCCCTTTCAGCTGCAGCCCTGTACTGAGAAACATCCATACACGCTCATTCACACTCATTCCCTAGTTAATTCAATTCACCTATATCGCATGTGTTTGGACTGTGGGGGAAACCGGAGCACCCAGAAGAAGAGCTATCCACTGAGTAACCATGTCGCCTTTTATTTTATTTTATTTTATTTTGGCAACGCAGTGGTGCAGTAGGTAGTGCTGTCGCCTCACAGCTAGAAGATCGAGCCTCGGCTGGGTCAGTTGAAGTTTCTGTGTGGAGTTTGCTCCCAAAGTTCGCGTGGGTTGTCCATAGTGTATGAGTGTGAATGAATATGTATGGATGTTTCCCAGAGATGGGTTGCAGCTGAAAGGGCATCCGCTGCAAAAAAAACATATGCTATATAAGTTGGCGGTTCATTCCACTATGGCAACCCCAGATTAATAAAGGGACTAAGCCGAAAAGAAAATGAATGAATGGATTTTCTTTTTCTCTTCTCTTCTCTTCTCTTCTCTTCTCTTCTCTTCTCTTCTCTTCTCTTCTCTTCTCTTCTCTTCTCTTCTCTTCTCTTCTTTTTTCTCTTTTCTTCTCTTCTTTTTTCTCTTTTCTTTTCTTTTCTTTTCTTTTTTCTTTTCTTTTCTTTTCTCTCTTTTCTTTTCTCTCTTTTCTTTTTTCTCTTTTCTTTACTTTTCTTTTTTTTCTTTTCTTTTTTCTTTTTTCTTTTCTTTTCTCTCCTTTTCTTTTCTTTTCTCTTTTCTTTTCTTTTCTTTTCTCTCTTCTTTTCTTTTCTTTTTTCTTTACTTTTCATTTCTCTTTTGTTTTCTATTTTTCTCTTTCTTTTTCTTTTTCTTTTTCTTTTGTTTTCTTTTATTTCAAGTTTGTTTTATTTTATTTTATTACAGGTTTATTTTATTTAGATTTCTTACAAGTTTGTTTAATTTTATTTTTTTACAAGTTTGTTTTATTCTGTCACTTTGTCTCCCACACGGTTGTTATTATTAAAATATGTTTGATTTGTTACTTCAACTTAGTGTTTTTTGTTTGGGTGATTGTTGCTTTTATGTCATTTTTAAAATATTTTTTATGGATATGTATGTAAATATAACAGAAAATTATTATTATTCTGTTTTATTTGTTAGGTTTAAGTTGTTTTTGTTTTGTTTTGCATTGCTTTGCTATGCTATACTTTCTTTTTTTTGCTTTTGAATCAGAGAATGTTTTTTGTATTTTTCTTTGTGTTGTGGTTGTTTTACTTGTCTTTTTTTTTTTTTTAGCTTTGATTTTTGTTTTAGAAAATAGCATTTCTATGGAGATGCATATCACAAAGCTTTTATTTAATCCCTTAAAGTTAATTTGATTTAGTTTTGTTAAAAATGTGAAGATTCCTTTTTTCACCCTCTTTAACAGTGAAGCTTCTTTTTATTCAGCAAAAATGTCTGCAAACCATATTATTGCACAATAGGTTGCCGGCATGCTGCTGTACTCCGACTAAAGTGCTTGGCGTCTCTGTCAGTGTCTCTGCGTCTGCAGCTCTACTTCTCACATTATTATGAGACAGATGCTGCAGTAACGTGGTGAAGGAGAGAAGGGTTTTAGGCTGGAGCTCAGAGACAGTCCTGTCTACTCCCCTGTTTAAATGCTATAATTAAATCATAATGGAAAACTACCCGATTTCCCAGTGAGTTTTAGAGCAATAATAGTTTAGTGTAGAATAGATAAAAAGCTACATATTATTATTATTATTATTATTATTATTTCTGTTGTTGTTGTTGTTGTTGTTAGAAAACTAGTTGATTTTTATTATTACAATTTTATACATATACATTTTAACCATGCATGTCAGTTTGAATAGAATAAATAAGTTAATGTTTTAGAAATAGCTCTGCGCTAAAAATTGACAGTTTTATATCGTGAATTAGCTGATTAGTTACATTTACAGTTTGTGTGTGGAATTTGTAAAACAATATTTTTATTAACGTTGAGTTATTTAATTATCATTAAGTGCTTTACTTTAATCATTTGAATGAATTTTTTTTTATTGTTGTTGTTTAAAATTTTTATTGTTAAATATTTTTTATATAATACATTTTCATTAATTAATTAATTGGTTTTTGCTGTTTTTAAATATATATTTATATTTCACTTAGCATTTCAGGTAACATAATTATTTGCTGATTTATTTATTTATTTATTTATTTTATTTTATTTTTTTCTGTATTGTCTTAGTTTGTTTAATAGTTATACTTACCCCATGTGTAGATTAGAAACACTATAATCAAACATTATACACATGAATAATGATGTAAATATAATCAATCATTTAAATAGATTGAATTATTTTACACCAAGGTAGGTTTTGAGCCAAAAGGTTTGCCCTTTACCACTAGTAATGAAAAATAGCATAAAAAATACTTTTCTTGAGTAATGGTCATTATTTCCTATATTACTGTACATGTAAGTAACCTTATAGATTGATGCAACAACATAGGAGATACAGTTACAGAGGAGTGTGGTGCAGAGATTATACATGTGCCAGTATTCAGTAATACAATATATTGCATTAACAGGTCTGCAAGTGTTTTACTTGTAATTAAGAAGACAACACTGAAGTTACTCTGTCTTTTCAAAATGTTTTGGATCTTTTTAATTTACATTGATAAACAGCATGTCGTGATAAAAGATTTAAAATATTTATCTGTCAATAATATTGACAGTCACATGGCCAGTCCGTTTAAGATACAGTTCAATATCAGGGCCAACTAATTCAACTTAATGATCGTAATATTATTTACAGTCTTTTTGAAAAGTTCATTCTTTTTGATGTCATCATTTAGTAAGATGCCTCGTCTCTTCTTCTTTCAGAGCACTGAGATCAGCCCTGCCAGCAGTCTTCACTCTTTACCCATAAGCCCCTGCAGTGAAAAATCACTTCCCTTTAAGGTAATTGTACAGTGTTATAATAATGTTTCTCTTCTATTAATAACATGAACGAGCACCTTCTGTGCTGCTGAGGTGTCTTTGCTGGGTCACGCTTTGATTAAAAAAAAAAAAAAAAAAGCCCTTTCATTTTTTCATATTAGATGATTTTAGAGCCATAGATCAGACATAACCACAGCACTAAATGATTGAATTTAAGTCTCTCTATTATGGAGTCGTCCTACTCTATTGCACAGTTTTGTCAGTTTTGTTTTAGCTTGTGTTGTCTAGTCTTGTTTTGTTGTCTACTCCTCTATTCTTCTCTCAAAATAAAACTCTGCTCTTTTTATTCCGACTTTTTTCACTGATCGAATCTGAGTCGTAACAACGTTGATGAGATTTAGCTACATGCCATATAATCTTATGGAAACAGCCTAGGACTGTCATTGTGAAAGCTTTATGATTTCTTATTGGGAGCTTTTTGCTTGGTAGAAGGGATTTTGTTTTCTCATCAGGACTGACAACCGCTGAAAAATACTGCGAAGTGGAAACGAGGTCTGCGTCTTTCTCTGTCCTCCTTACTGACCTACATGGAGAGCTAACAGAAGCCGTGGATGCGGCATCAGGTCACGTGACTCTCCGGCTCAACCGAAGCCTAGCGCCACGCAGCGGGAGAAGTAGACGCTCAGAATAGGAGCCCATGCATCCTGACATTGTGTTCAGCTGACAGGAGAGGGGTGGGACTCGTCCTGATTCATCCTAGTAAAAAAAAAAAGAAAAAAAAAATTCCGATTTTAAAAATAAAGCCCTAGAACCCACCTGAGACGGAACCGTGTCACTTCTCGTCCTACTTTTAACAGAAAACTTCTCTCACCAAACATTTGTTATCCTCACCTTCTTAATAATTGGAGCCTGCGGAAAGAGTTCTCCTGCGGCTAGAGTGTGCCGTCGGTTTGGGGAATAATGGAGCCGCTTTCCTTGCATCCTGGGACTGGGGTACCAAACTCATTCGTCCTGGTGTCCCTGTCATCAGTGCATTAATAACACCTTGTTAAGTGGGTGTAGGTGCGTCCAGCACTCTGAGGGCGTCCTTTTGGAAGTTTATAACATCACAAACATCCTTATACAGGAATAACCGAGGACATCTATCACATTTACTTCTTTTATGCGCCCCTTCAAAGTACATCGGTGAAATGTTCTGCGCTTCTCTAATCTTGTGCCATTCTCGGTAATGAAACTGCCAGGTGTGGATGCCTGAAATGCATAAAAAATATCTTTTGTGTTTTTTTGTTCTTTCTCTTCAGACGTTTTATGGCATAGTGCTATCAGACAATTTGGGGTCAGTAAGATATTTTTTTTTTGTTTTTGAATGAAGTCACTTATAATCACAATGCCTGCATCTATACGGTCAAGACTACTGTGATGTTGTGAAATATTATTAGCATTTGAAATAACCTTTTTTTTGTAGATGTTTTGAAATATGGCTTGTTACTCTGTTGGAAAAAGTCTGAGTTTGAAGAATCACATGGGGTTGTTTGCTGTTTTGGTGCTAATAATATATTTATTCTTATTATCAGTGATAAACTGCTGTATATAATTTTGTGGAAGCTGGTGATACATTTTTTTTCATGATTTTTTAAAAGATAATTTATTTAAAATATAAATACCGTTTATAAAGCTATAAATATCTTCTACTTTAGCTACTTGCTAAATCTATGCATGTACTGACTTGGAAAAATAAAACATCTCAGTTTGACCCTTAGCCATATGTTTGATTACCAGCCGACATATTAACTCTATTTGCCATTTTGTCTCACACAAATAATACACATGGATGCATACACACATAGGCTTGTCACATTATCTATTTTTTGTTGTGCGATATATTGCATCAAAATGTATTGCTATAAGTGAAATCACTGTCATTTTAAGACTATTTTTTGTGACTAATTATATAACGCCGGAATGGCAATATAATATTATCGCAAGTACACTCGTCCACAAGAACACTTCACAATAAGAATATTTAATTTAAATGTAGCCATTTTAACAATTTAATAAATAGGCATTAGAATCTGAATGTGAAAATGTGTATCCTAAATAAATAATAATAAATGTTAACAAAAAAGTGTAATGTACAAAAAGTAACAGAGGCTGCAATATCTGGTACCTGATCTTTTTTTTAGTTATCAGATAACTACATGAAAATATACTAAACTAATTTATATTTACTGCTATAGTGTTTTTTTTAACCGTACCGACACTAAATCCTCCAATAGAAGTAGAGATGTTGCAAAATCAGTTAAAATGTTGCTAGATTTGGTTTTCATGGGTGATTTTTATGGCATCACCAAACATTTTTGAGGTCATGTGTCCCTGTTGTGCGATAAGTTGATATTTTGGTTATTGTGACAGGCCTACACACACACACACACACACACACACACACACACACACACACACACACACACACACACACACACACTGTATGATTTTATTTCTAGTTAGTTTTCTCTCGCTGACAGGTTTTGTCAAAAATTTGCTGACAAATGCCTGAAATCGAAACCAAATCGGGGCTTATTCAGGTGAATGACAGTCATGTAGTGTATATTATCAAAAATCTGAGAGAATCAATGATGTGTCTCTGACGAAATATTTGGCATGCTAAATATCTGGAGCTGCGATAAAAAATCTTGCTGTGTTAAAAGAGTTTTGTGATGGCCTACAGCTAATAATAGAGCAACATACAGGACAGCGGGAAGTGCAATATCGTCATCGGTTTCAGTAAATGCTTCTTGGTCTTTTTGGAAGAAATAGAGAAACTTTTTTTTTTAAATGCACTTGTCTTTTTGATCTTTCATCTGAGCTGTACCACAATATTGTACCATATCCAGTTTGATCAGTTCTTACATGAGTTTAGTTGTAAAACATAGTTTGTGAGCCAGACAGAGTTGTCAGCGGAATTTTATTTGATTTTTTTCTTCCATATAGTAAGTCACGCAGTGTCTAATTTCCTATCTCCAATCCAACACAGCAAGAACTGAAATCTACCCCATGTAGTTATGCAGTGTGAAAATAACTTACAGTTGGTTTGACGTTGTAAATTTAGGGACTGAATCTTAAGTTACAAACGACTATAGTGTACATGTTTCTAACTTCAAAAGCTTCTGACAAGGGTCACAAAAATAACAGAGATCTGATGACACTGTATTAGTTACTGCATTATCTACTGTTTACTTAAAAAAAGCAAACCAAACCTAATGATGTGGTTATTTAAAAAAGCAAATATCCAATACACTCTCGGCCACTTGAGTTGGTACACCTGTCCAACTGATCGTTAAGGCTAATTTCTAATCAGCCAATCAGATGGCTGAAACTCAATCCATTTAGGCATGTAGACATGGGCTGTTTCTCAATTCCAAGAACGCAGAGAACGGACTTGTGTTCTTGTGGAGAGCGGTCTTGCCAGGTGTTCTCGGAAGAACGAACTCAGGAGACCGCGAGGGCAGAGAACGCGTCTTTTGAGAATTGAGATGCTGCGTTCTTCCTGATGGTCACATGACCTTCACGTGTTTTAAATGGTAAATTATTTAAACATTACAGCCTTCATACAACGATTTATTGTTTTTCCCCTTTTCAAAATATATACTTTGCATAAAACATTATAAATATATGTTGCACAATATAAATAAAACAGATTTTAATACGAATTTCAGCAAACAAACACCCTTAATGTGTTTATTCCTTTATTAAGATGTCCATGGTAATGTTTACTTTCACTGTTTCATTTAGGGAAACTCCTGAGGCAAATAATTCATATCTATGAACTTTAATAATAAATCTAGATAAAATGCAGCGCTTCCCACCTTCAGTCGCAATGACTTCTGGGACTTCCAGAGCAAGTTTGGCGCTCAAGTCTGCATCGGTGCGTCCTCGATATCAAGAACACATCCGGAAAGTTTCACGTGTCCTCCGTACTTGCGGTCTTGAGTATTGGAACTGAACTTAGGCAGCTGATGATGACGTTTCACGAGAACACGAGGACGCAAGACCGCTGAAGACTGCATATTGAGAAACAGCCATGGTCAAGACAATCTGCTGCAGTTCAAACTGAGCATTAAAATGGAGAAGAAAGGTGATTTAAGTGACTTTGAACATTGGCTCGTCTGAGTATTACAGAAACTGCTGATCTACTGGGATTTTCACACACAACCATTTTTAGGGTTTACAGAGAATGGTCTGAAAAAGAGAAAGTATCCAGTGAGCGGCAGTTCTATGAGCGCAAATGCCTTGTTAATCCCAGAGGTCAGAGGAAAATGGCCAGACTTGTTTCAGCTGATGAAAAGGCAAAGTAACTCAAATAAACACTCGTTACAATTGAGGAATCCAGAAGAGCATCTCTGAACCCACAACATGTCCAACCTTGATGTGGATAGGCTACAGCAGCAGAAGACCATACTGGGTGCCACTCCTGTCAGCTAAGAACAGGAAACTGAGACTACATTTGCATGGTAGGGTCAGAATTTAGCGTCAACAACATGAAAGTATGGATCCACCCTGCCTTGTATCAGTGGTTCAGGCGGGTGGTGGTGTAATGATGTGGGGGATATTTTCTTGACACACTTTGGGCCCATTAATACCAACTTAGTATTGCGTCAACGTCACAGCCTTCCTGAGTATTGTTGCTGACCATGTCCATCCCTTCATGACCACAGTGTACCCATATTCTGATAGCTACTTCCAGCAGGATAACGCTGCCTGTCATAAAGTGTGAATAATCTCAGACTGCTTTTTTAAAAATGACAATGAGTTGTATTCAAATGGTCTCTACAGTCCCCAGATCCTGAATCCAATATAGAGCACCTTTGGGATGTGGTGGAACGGGAGATTCTCATCATGGATGTGCAGTCGACAAATCTGCAGCAACTGTGTGATGATATCATGTCAATATTGACCAAAATCTTTGAGGAATATTTTCAGTACCTTGTTGAATCTATGCCACAAAGGATTAAGGCAGTTCTGAT